AAGACAGAAAATTTAGGCTGCATTCTTTCTCGTGATCCTCAACCTCTTCACGCTTTCTACAAATTCTCTGTGTCAGAAATGACAGAAGAACAAGGAAGTGAAAAGAAAATTGTTAGAAAAAAGAGTTCAAAGCAGAAAATAATCTTAGAATGCAGAATTTGGTTATTCAAACAAGATAGAGGAAAGGGGAAACTTACTTCCATGGGACATCACCTACGGTTCTCCAATGATCTTCTCTGTCTTTGTAGAACAGTAAATACTCTGACTCAGATTGGAACAGTTTCAAACCAGAAACAGATTTGCTTCCTGAATATGAATTGGTACAAGAAGTTAATAACAACAGTATTAGTAAAGATTAAGAATAGGTATCTTCTAGAAAATTTCTACCAAGCCCACTTAAAGAATCTCTGTGACTTTTCTCAGATGAGAATTGCTGGTTATGCTTACCAAACATGTTTTCTAACTGGTTTGCAAGGCTTGGGTAGCCTTCATGATCAAGGACACAGATTTTTCTGCCTACTGTAACACCATCCATGTTGACCTTAACATAAGCCCACCTATCATTGCTTTGGACACCTTCTATTTCTTCATCAAAGTTTTCTGGAACAGATTTAGAATGCATTGTGCTTGAGCTCTTGAGGTTGAGATTAGGCTGTGGCCAATCCATAAGGTCGTCATCATATCTCCACAAGCTTAAAACTGAATATATTCACAACAGTGTCACATTATTAGTTTCAAACCTTCTTATTCTACTAACCAGCAAATCAATGATAAGTTGATCTAATGTCAGATAAGTAATCATCAGCAAAAGAATGGAAATGAAGATAAACAAGGGATTTTTAAAAGGCTTACAGTTGCTAGATGAATGATAAGCTTCAGGTTGGACAGTTCTGAGGCTAAGTCCCAGATCAATCATGCCATCTTCATCATCCTCTTTGCCTTGATAGAAATCTGGGTGAAAAGTTGAAGAGTTCAGAAGAAAGCTTGAAGTGTTTGAATCCATGGAGATGTGGAGCACTCCTAATTTCTAAGCTTAGGAATGTCGGACTCTTTCAGAGATGGTGTAATGAGTTGCATTCATGTAATTCATCTATTTATAGGATCAATTTTGATTATATGTATAACTAAAAATTTAAAAAAGCACATGGAAGACAATGAAGCTTCCCCCCATTATCAATCATTGACTACACAAAGCTTATCTTCTGGTACTGTCAACATGGGACACAAGGTAGAAACAAAACACCTCAACAACATGAAATGGCCATGTTGATCCTAACAAAAGTTGTTCTGGATCCTGCTTCCTCACTTCACTACAAAACCTGAGACTCGTGTTAATATTCCGTAATGCTGACTATATACATGCAAGTGTATTTTCCCACTTCAACGTTAGTTATGATCTGAAAGTTAATAATCTCAGTATTGAACATTTTGATAAAAGATATTAAGCATCAATTTAGAATCATTACCTCTGACGTTTTCTTTAGACTTGAAATCCTCAAGTTTGTATCTCCTTATTGTTGTGGGATTCAGTGGATTGTGTCTCCAAAACAGCAAACAGTATCAGAAAATAATTCAAAGGAAGGCATATAGATATAGGGACAGGTCTTTTCTGTGACCATCATATGACTGGAATGCCACTTTTCAAGGGAACAACGGCCTCATCTGATCCCCACAACCCATTCCACCTTGCAAGAAATGATATTTTTACTGCTTAAAACTTCATATTCATTCATGTAATTTCTTGTTCCTTGATTAATACATCATGTGTTCAGCTCGGATAACATATACTGTATTCATCTGAGAATCTGAGGTTTTTAAATTACTCTTAGCGTGTCTTTGCATATTGAGCAAGGGATATTAAATAGAATATTGAGAAGAACACTCAATAAAGTTATTGGGTAAGACTTTTTTAGTTAAAAATTTATTCAAAAATTTGGTTATTGACAAAGCACATGATATCATGCGATCCATATAACTGAACCTATTTAGTGAGATAAGATTTGTTGTTATTGTTGTATCTCTTTGTATACTTTGCAGGCTATAGAAAGCTTTCTTTTGGACATGATGAAGAGATATGTTTTTTTTTTTTTTTTCCAAATTATCAGTAACGATGAAAAGTATGGATTGGAGGAACGCGTAGGAATTTGGTCAACTTGGGATGATGTACTTGGCAGCGTAACTTGGACGTGAACATCTACATTATAATGATTAAGTCGCATCGTTACTGCGACATAAGCTCAGTCTCCATCAACTTTTCTGAGGTGAGATACAGATATCTTTGTTTTCTGCAGATATTTATATTTTAATTCTGGTCTGAATTCTTTCTAAATTGAAACAATGAGAGATCTCTCAAGCGAGTTCAAATAATGCATAACCGACTAGATATTGGACAGAAATGAATGAAAGAAGGCAAGAAGATTTTTTTTTTTTGGGTTTTTAAGTGACAATACCATAAAATCTAAATATCATGTAGTAACTTTTTTAGTGTCAAATTATCGGAATGGACTTTGACTATTCCGAATTGAGTAGGAAAGGATCACAAGGGCGGCACAGTTCTCCCAATGAGTATGATGCGGTAATTATTACTACCTCAGGTACTCAGTATAAGAGTTAGTTAATTAATTTGAATAGATTAAAAAAATTATTTAAGTTAGTTATTTGTAATAAATAAATGTTGTTTTACCTAAAATACTCTTACTAATCAAGTGTCATTTGATTAAACATTTAACATATTCAACCACAATAAGAACTACCTTAAAAAAATAGATAAATATGAGAAACAAAGTGGATTATAGTATTATATTTAGGACTAAATTAAAAGTCAAACTAGCTCTTATATTAACAATCAGAGATAGTCAACGAGCTCTTATATGCTACCTCAGTCTTTAATGTAAAATCTTGTTGACTAATTTAAATAGATTAAGGAAGTTTGTTAAATTAGTTATTTGCAATAAATAGATGTTATTTTTCTTAGAATACCCTCGCTAATCATATATATTAGCTAGAACTACCATATTATGAAACATTTAACATGTACAACAACTATAAAGACTATTTAAAAAAAAGAATAAATATGATAAACAAAGTGAATTGAGGTTTTATATTTAAAACTAAATTAAATGTGAAACTAACTTTCATATTAAATTCCTTTATAAAATAATATTTTGTTTATTCTGTAAACTACATATTATATTTATTACAACAATCATATACTTGTTAAGTACATAAAAGTCAAATCAATGTTTTTTGAATATAACCGATAAGCATAATATGGTAAATCTAATGAAACTGAGCGTTTTATTAAGCTAAAAACTTGTACCAATCTAAAGGTTTAGACAAGTTTTCTTGTTTCCGTGATTGTATTTGCATTGAAACTACTACTACCTCCATTCTTAAATATAAAATTTAGTTTAAACAAGATTTTATATTTAAAACCGAATATAGCAATATTTTGTGTAGAGGTTGTGACGTCATATCCTTTTAAAGATATTGTAGATGGAACTAGATTATTTATTTCTAGCTAATGACAAGTTGTGATCAGCAATACTGACTGACCTATTTGCTAAACACTCTTTTATAATTAAAAGGAATTACTGCGTTTTTTTTCCCCAATCAAATTCCATCTTTTAATATTACAGATGGAAAGTGCTGAAGAAAGCTTGTCCACTTTTGTACTGTTTTTGTCGTTCCCTCTTACTAGGGAATGTAGTCTTTTCACTAAAAATAAAAACGAAGGGGAAAAAAAAATCAAAAGAAAGAAAGCTTACTTTCATCATATATGGGAAGGGGCCTTCCATCATGACAGCTAAGGAAATGTTATTTTCATTGAAAATCACAATGTCTAAGAATGAAAATAACCCTACTCTTTGTAATTTAAAATTAATTATCTCTCTCTTTTTTTTAAATGGTATTTCAGTCATTCATTTGTTTGTTTTTCTTCAATTTTTTGTGTTTAAACATACATATTTTTTTCATCCATACCAAATATGTAAATTGGGTTCATAAAAGGCTTATTTCCTTTTTTTAATTCTTATTTCCATAACTTTCTTATTTCTTTTTATTTTTCTTTTAGTGAGACATAACTTTCTCATTTCATTTAGAAACTTTCCCCACGCCAAATGTGTCCTAAGAGTAGCGCTAAAAGTAGATAGGCCAGCTTGGGGTATATAGGCTAACCCATTCTTGTGTGGCTCCCAACCCAAAGTAAAATGTGTAGGTTAGTAAGTTGTACGAGACACCCTGTCAACTCATTATTTTTTTCCTCATAAATTTTAATAATTCTTAAAACTTAATTCTAATTAACTTATGATATAATCCACTTTAAACCTACATATTACATAATCCACAATCATATAATCTAATCTTAATTTTTCTTAGAAACACTTAATAGGCTTCAACATACTTCTTTTGTGTTTAGGTAGTTTAAAATGTGAAAAGAAGGGGGACAAATATAGGTTATACAATTCAACCTATAAATTAAAATGAGTTAGTCTGTTTAATTTATGAGTTAGATGGTCCCAACTTAAAAAAGGTCAATTTTTATTTGGATTGATTTTTTTTTCTCAAAACCTAATTCAAGTCAACAAAGTCGACTTAGGGGGTATTTGGATGGAAACCAAAATATGATTTCAAAAATACTTTTACGGTTTAAGAAGTAAATATGTAGAGGAGTTTATCTCTTTTTATGGAAAAATACTTATGAGAAACACTTTTGGTGGTTGCCAAACACCTTTTTAAATTCTCATTTCACAGCTCTAATAACCAACTTGGCAAGATGGTGCTTTTTCACAACTAAAAAGCCCATTTTTTATTAGTGTAAAAAAAACCCCAATAGTGATCAATGTAAAGGTTTCCTTTTGATTTTATTTTGGGCTCAAGAGCCCATTTTCCTTAATTTTGACCCAATTCTCTTCTTCCTCCTCGTCCCCGGCGCTCCTCTGGCCTGAGTACGTTCTTCGCCGCCTTGTCAACCACCACTGTCTCAAACTGAACCCTTGTGTCACCATGTCAAGTACTGGGGGCGGAGGAGTTGAAGTGAAGAGAGTGTTTATAGGAGCAGGATGCAACAGAATAGTGAACAACGTTTCATGGGGTGCTTGTGGCTTGGTCTCCTTCGGTGCTCAGAACGCCGTCGCTATATACTGCCCCAGGGTCCCCTTCGGTTTCTTAAATTCACTAAGTTCTTATTTTGGGTGACTATTTTGTCTTAAGCATCTGATTTGGAGTCCCTTTCTTTTTTCTTCTATTGGGTTTTGACAGAGTGCTCAAATTCTGACTACTCTTCCGGGTCACAGAGCATCTGTAAATTGCACCCACTGGCTTCCAAGCAGCAAGTTTGCATTTAGAGGTAGCCTCTTGTGCTTTCTGAGATTTACTAGAAATCCTTAATGCATTTTTACATGATTCCATGCGAATTTCTTCAGTTGTACTTGGTATAGTCAATTTAGCATAACGATAAGGTGGGTTATAAATTAATGGAGAAATGATCAGAAAAATATTTTCACAGAGAGAGACAGAGAGAGAGAGACAGAGATGTTTGGAGGAGAAGATATTTAAATCATCATCCTTCATCTCCCTCTGCCAAGCTGATTCTTCAAAACCAATTTCGTGTGCTTTGGCTTAGAAGTTTGAGTTTATTTGATATCGTTATTGCAGTAGAGAGCAAAGACCAAAAGCACAATTTACTGCATTAATCCAACGAATGTGTACAGGTCCACAGTGAATTACACAACTGGCATGCACGGTGGAATAAAAAAATTTATGCTTGTTTTTTTTTTTAACCAAGTTCTTACTGAGCTCTTTCCATGACTTTTGCAGCAAAACAATTAGAGCAACATTATTTGCTATCTGGCGATGCTGATGGTGCTATTATTCTCTGGGCAATGTCCCTTTCTGATGGAAAGGTATACTTTGTTCTTATTTTACCTCTGTTTAATCGTTGATGACTTGCTTTCAAACTAATTTAGATAATTCTGGGAAAAGAATTATCTAAATTGGGACTCATCAATTTTGTGCATATATTTCTTGACAGTTTGGAGCCTCTATTTACTGTTACTTGTGTTTCCTGACCTCTGTCCGCAGTGGAGATGTGTCTTACAAGTACCACAATCACACAAGAAAGGTGTTACATGCATTACTGGAATCATGATTTCTCAAACCGAGGCAATATTTGCATCTACTTCTTCAGATGGTGCAGTATGTGTATGGCAACTGGTATTTCCAATGGCTGAAGGAGGTAAGACTGATTCCTGACCACATTAATGTTTACTGGCTTACTGCCACATCTCTTTTACATTGAACTTGACCTTCTTCTCTTCGTCTCAAAGCCCACATGCTGCCTCTCGCTATCTGATAAATGTCTCTGGCAAACATACCTTTGAATTTTTCTGTGGTCTGATGGATTCAGAAATACCTTTGAATTTTTCTGTGGTCTGATGGATTCAGAACAGTTTGGATTTTGGAATTTAATTTGGTTAACCTTTTCCTCTGTACTGTTCTAGATTTTGACTGCCTAATTGATGTAGTGGTCCATATGCATGAGTGTTCCCAATTTGGCCGTCCGGCTTTGTTGTTCCTATTCTTTGTTTATTTTGGTTTTAACTGAATAGTGATAATTTTGAAACAACTGTTTCAATTATTGCAACAAGTAGCCTGACAAAAAGAGGAGTGCAGATGAGTCATTTTGACCAAGTAGTAAAATTAATATTTTAAATAGGTTTTCTGGGATGTGGTTTCTATGCATCTTGTTTTCTTATTTCCAGTCATTATTCGTTTGTCAACATTGAGAAATTTGATTTTCATTTTAGGCGACTGCGAATTATTGTGTCTGGATTCTTTCTCTGTTGGTCCTAAACCAATGGTAGCTTTATCATTGGCGGAGTTGCCTGGAAATAATGGGCAAATAGTTCTTGCAATGGGAGGATTGGATAATAAGATTCATCTTTATTGTGGGGGAAGGACAGGAAAGGTAGTCATTTTAAAATGCACTTTAGTTAGTTACGTGGAAATATCATCTGTGTATAAAGACTTTTCTTCTCACGTATGAACCCAGCTTGTTCGTGCATGTGAGCTAAAAGGACATACAGATTGGATCCGAAGTTTGGACTTCTCATTGCCTATTAGCACAAAAGGGGACTCAAGCAGCATTTTGCTGGTAAGTTCATCTCAGGATAAAGGCATACGAATTTGGAAGATGGCACTACGCAGTTCTTTGTCCAATGGACATGCTATATACAAGAAAGAAGAAATAAGCTTGTCATCCTATATAGAAGGTCCCGTGCTTGTAGCTGGCCCTTCTTCTTTTCAAATATCTCTGGAATCACTTTTAGTTGGACATGAGGATTGGGTATATTCAGTGGAGTGGCAACCACCTTTGGCTTCATCTTTGGAGAAGGATTCATATTATCAACCTCAGAGCATCTTATCAGCATCCATGGACAAGACTATGATGATATGGCAACCTGAAAAGACGTCTGGAATTTGGATGAATGTGGTCACTGTTGGGGAACTTGGCCATTGTGCTCTGGGGTTCTATGGTGGCCACTGGAGTCCGCATGGAGATTCTATATTAGCACATGGTTATGGTGGATCTTTCCATCTCTGGAAAAATGTTGATAATGATAATTGGCTGCCGCAAAAGGTTCCCTCTGGTCATTTTGCATCAGTGACTGATATAGCCTGGGCTAGATCTGGCGATTATATTCTGTCTGTCAGTCATGATCAGGTGTGTTGCCCGTAGAAAAAGAACTATTGCATAAAGCTGTCTACACTAGAAAATTTACAGTGAAATGCTTTTATTGCTAAATGTAATGAGTGGCCAATACCATGTTACTTTAAAGATTAAGTCATCTGAATGTGTTTAGTTGTGTGGCAACTGGTTTGAACCAAAAATAAGTAAACTAGATATTACCTTTTTCTGTGTTAAATTTCAATCGTTAGGAAAACTGCTTAGCAGAAAGGGTTTAACCCAAAACTCATAAAACTGTTGCACTCAAGAGCAGGGAATTGGTTCCCAAGGTGTATATTCCCATTTCTTGGATCTTATTTCCACAGGAAAGACTTTCTGCTTCACTTCATGTGATGATAAAAGTTTTCATTGACTTACCACTAATTATACCCTTAAAAAAATTTCCTTCCCTAGGTTTATTTGACGCTCATGACTGTGTTTTGCTAAATTTAGGTCTACAAGTTTAGCTTTTATACATGACCACACACATGCACACATATGTGCATGTGCACACATGCATGCATGCGTTTAGACATTATAATTCTTTATTCCTTTGAAGTAGTTTTGTTCTTATAGTTGATTTTGCAAATTATAAAACCTGCAGACAACTAGAATTTTTGCTCCGTGGAAAACTGAGGCCTCTCTTCCAACAGGGGAATCTTGGCACGAGATTGCTCGTCCTCAGGTTCATGGCCATGATTTCAATTGCGTGACAGTTGTCCAAAGTAAGGGAAATCATCGTTTTGTTAGTGGAGCTGAAGAGAAAGTTGCTAGAGTGTTTGAAGCTCCCTCTTCTTTTTTGAAGACTTTGAATAATGCCTCTCTGCAGAAATCTTGTTTTTCTGATGATTTCCAATCAGATGTTCAGATTTTGGGTGCGAATATGTCTGCTCTTGGGTTATCACAGAAACCTATTTATGTTCAAGGTTAGTAATTTTTATGTATTGAGATGCTGCACATTGCAGTCAGTGTTGAAATCGTATAGTAGTGCTGCTGTTTCTCTGGTTCTCTAACTTTTCCTAGTGTTAACTCAGGTAGAATGTGCTAAAAGTTGATCAATATAGAAAAGCAGGCAATAAAATCAATTCACTGCTTAAGACTATGAAAGAATGTTCATAAATAAAACGCTGGCTTGTGACCCAGGTAATTAATTTGTTGGATAATTTGGTGAATTTTGCTGTGTGCTAATCCCTTTAGTCTTCTTTCCCCTTCTTCGGGGGGCCACATGGTCCCTTTAGTTTAATTTTCCGGTATTCATCTGGATCTTGAAATCCTCAAATACTGTGTTTCTGGAGGGGATGTTTACCTAGTCTGACCAAATTCTATCTTGAAAGTTAGGATGTTTGCCTGACCAGTCTGTTTTGACATCTGGCAACCACTCAAATTTTGGCCTGTTTCCCATTCCCCCTTATGTCAGCTCCTGGAAAACTGGATGTCTGAATTTTCCCTGGTGAGTAGTGAAGCACGTTGACATCATCATTTGACAACTTTTCCTATAGATTATCATGCTCTGTGCTAGATAAAATTTTCTGCCTGTAGCTTTCTGACCCTTATGTGAGCCTGTGTCAAGTCCCTTAGTCATTGTCCTGCCTGAGGACCTTCAACATGGAAATTTAATCCTCAGATCGTATTTTCTGAGCTCCGTTCTCACTCAATTTCTTGTTTAGTTAACTAGTTTTCAATATAGGACTGGGGTTTTGCTCGTTTGGGAAATCAACTGGTATATTAGCTATTAGGTGAACAATTATGTTTTAGCCATCCTACAACTATTTTATACAGGGCTTGTTGCATGCATGGTTGGTGGTCCTCCTCTACTCTTTAATATAAGATTACCCAGGGGTAGGCAGTATGTTGACAGTCAAGAATGGAAAACTTGAGTCATCTATTTCTATTTTTTCGCTTGTTCAAATTGAAGTTGACAGTTGTACAAGACCTTTGTTGCAGTGTCTCTATATAATATTATAGTTTGATGGGCTATTCTCCTATGCAGCTGTACATGAAACCCCTGACAGAAATAGGATTGATGGTCTTGACTCCCTTGAGACTGTTCCTGATGCAATGCCAACAGTGTTCACTGAGCCTCCAATTGAAGATCAACTGGCTTGGCATACACTATGGCCTGAATCACACAAACTCTATGGTCACGGAAATGAAATCTTTTCTTTATGCTGTGACCATAGGGGTGAGCTCGTTGCTTCCTCGTGTAAGGTACATGGTGTCATTCTTGATGTACAGTTGTTTTTATTAAACTAAATGATACTCCCTCTGGTCATCCATAAGGTCCTCTTAACTAATTCATAGAATCCTAAAGAAGTAGGTATGTTTATAATTAACATGCAGAGAATTTGTGACGTTTTGAAAAATAACCTTGACATTTGATGATTAAAATTTAATGCACAAAGATAAAAGTGTCCTAGTAAATAGGGTTATTATAGGAATGAAAAATTTAATATGGGAGACAAGAGAGAATGGGACCTTATATTTAGAATCAAATCAAAACCCTCAAATAGACCTTATATTTAGGACTTGAGGGAGTATAGTGGCACCTAGAAATATCTTTGTTAGCAAATGACATGTTTGGTGTGATGATTGAAGTTTCTCATAAAACAGACGCAGGTGATATTTTGTTAAAGTTAACAAATCATAGAGTGGGGAAATGTGAGATTGCCTTGTTTTTTTTAAGTGGTTTGAGGTACTGCCTAAACTTTTGTCACCATGCCTTAGTATCTACCGACACTGGCACTTAAAATGACACCCAGCATCCGAGGTATTAGGGTCAAAATGACGGTGTACCAAACACAACTTTCATGACTTTTGGTATTAGATGGACAGTGTAGTTTTTATCTTCATTTTCACGTTCTTTTCATTTCTGGATACACGTGCATGCACTTCAATGCAGTTGGCTTGCTTTATTTTGTTGGTGAAAAGTACCTTATTTTCACTTTAAGTATTTATTAGTGCTACTTTTACGCAATAATTTGGAATCATTGCTCAAATTTTGTCCTTTGTAGGCTCAATCCGCAAATGTGGCAGAGATTTGGCTTTGGTTAGTGGGCTCATGGAAAGCTGTAGGCCGCCTGCATTCTCACAGTTTGACAGTGACACAGTTACAATTCTCATATGATGATAATTTTCTTTTGAGTGTTTCAAGAGATCGTCATTTCTGCATCTTTAGAATTGCAAGAACAGGTACCTAATCATCGTCACCATCTATAGCATCAGCATATGCATGAATACCGATAGTGCTTTGTGATTACTCTGGGTTAAAATATTCTTGGCAACAATCTAATTGACTGACAAGAATATAAATAATGTTATACTACCTCCAGTCCTTAATATAAGAGCTAGTTTGACTTTTGTTTTGGTCTTAAATATAAAACCTCAATCCACTTTATCTCTCATATTTATCTATTTTTTCCAAGGTTGTCTTTGTAATGATGATAGTTCTAGCCAATGCATTTGATTAACAGGGATATTTTAGGAAAGATAACACCTATTTATTACAAATAACTAAACCAGTTTCCTTACTCTACTCAAATTAATCAACTAGCTCTTATATTAAGGACCTGAGGTAGTACTTTATTATTCATGAAGAAAAAATAAAGAGAGAGAGCATTGTGATCTAAACTTTCTTAGTTACTGCAAAATTTTCCTAATAACTTGGAGTGTGGCAAGTCAAGAAATTTCCCTAGGGATAAGATTCCTAGAATGTTCCCTGTGGGGTGAGATTTTCAATGTAAGCACAGCATGTGAACATTTTTCATGCGGACTATATCATTATTGATTGTTTTTTCAAAAATGTTTTCTTGTGCCTGAATTTTAATGATCTTGTAAGAAACACCTAAAAATTGCACATTTCCTCCCTTACCTTCTCAACTGAAGCACCTTAGTGCTGCAAGTCAACGGAAATCTGAGTCACTTGTGGTCTGTAGGCACGGGTGAAATAAGCTACAATCTTCTCACAAAGCAGGAGGGACACAAACGTATTATCTGGTCATGTTCTTGGAATCCCCAAGGTTATGAATTCGCAACAGGTTCCCGGGATAAAACAGTGAAAATCTGGGCTGTGAAGGGGGAATCTACAGTAAGGCAGCTTATGACTCTGCCTCAGTTTCCTAGTAGTGTAACAGCATTATCTTGGGTCGGTCTTAATGATCGGAGAAATGATGGACTTCTCGCCATTGGAATGGAATCTGGTCTCATGGAGCTCTGGAACCTGTCATACTCTCAAACAAATTTGGGAGCTTCTCTTGCTGTGCGCATAGATCCTCTTATGTGCCATGTCTCTTCTGTGAACCGTCTGGCATGGAGGAAGAAGAGAGAAGATGAAAAGAGCATGCAATTGGCTTCTTGTGGAGCTGATCATTGTGTGAGAGTGTTTGAAGTAGCTATTGATTAGTAGGTCATGCTAGTAGAATGAAAATCTGATTCATAGTTTTGAGTGAGAAGAAGAAAAGAAGTTTGATGTATTCTGTCAAAGTGAACTGAAAATTAGGGGCTGGGGCCTCAATTTTCTATCTCCTGCCTTAATATGATTATTGCAAGTTTTGAGTTTGCTTTTATTTTATTATTTTGCTAATGCTAAAGTTTAGATGAGTTTGATTCCAGAGTTTATTATTGTCTGACCATATTTTTATGGTTGGAAAAGTATCTATGAAGATATTTTTAAATTGTAATGGGATTTGAATTTGCACTCGTGTAGAGTATAAGTTGAGTCCTTATTAATTGAAGGCTTAAATTTCTTTTATTCTAAACTATATGTGCATTTTATATCTAGTCATTAGAAGAAAACATCCCTAAAACATAATTGTATTTTGAAAAAAATTAGACTTGGTGGATTATTGATTTACCCCAAAAAAATGAATGAACGAGCAACTAGAAAAAGTTTTTGATTTTTTTTCCTTCAAAATTTTCCAGTGATTAAGCCAACTTAACAAAGTGATATAGTATAATTTTTACTTTTGATGTTGGGGCCCTGGGGCCAACAACTACCGGATGTCTCTGACTTTTTGTTTGGATGGGAAGAAAAATTGAGAGGAAAGATAATGAGATGAGAGAAAATAGACAGAAGAAAAAATTGGAAAAAAATATTATCACCTTTCATATTTGGATGGACAAGAGAAAATAGAAAGGAAAGAAAATGAGTAAATATATGAATGATTAAAATACTCTTTCTATTATATCAAAATATATCTTGATTAAAATCAAATTAAATATCATAATGAAAAACCATATTTACATTAACATAATCATATAATTTAAAATCAAATTATTCGATAAAGATATATTATCATGTTATTATACTTTAATATCAAATAATTTTTGTAAAAAAAGAAAAAAATAACATTTTGTGTAATGTAATGCTAAAAAAAACCAAAATAACAACTCTACTTATTTTACCTTTCAGTTCATTTTAGAAGAATTTTTTTAATTTTAGTCATTTTATTTTTCAATCAAGCAAACACAGAAGAAAGACTTGATAATAATAAATAAAATGAAAAAAAAAAGGTATTATTTGCTGAAAAAGCATATGTAAGGGTAGAGAGGAAAAATATGTTTTCTTCTCATTTTCTCTCTATATATGGAAAGAAAAGTTGGGAGGAAAATAAGTTGTGGTCCCTCAACCCATCTTCCTCCTAATTTTTCTTTCCTCCCATTTTTTTCCCTCATCCAAATAGGAGAAAAACCACTTCTCCCCCCCCCCCCAATTTTCCTTCCTAGTTTTCTTTCCTCTTTCATTTTCTCTCCATTCAAACATAGCATGAAAGAAAACGCTCAAGAACCAAGAAACAGATAAAAATTGAAAAAGACACCGAGGCGAGTCAGAGAGTTTTTGAGGGAAGTTAAAATACTATAAAAGGCTAGATAATTAAGGTGTAATTTTGACTCTAATTTTATTTTTTTAGTAGTGCAATTTTAATCCTGATTATTTTTCCTTATGTAATTTTGACTCTGAGGTGCAATTGTGATTACTGGTTGTTTCTCAATGTTTTAGTATAAATTATTTTGTGACTTTTCTTATAGTGCGAAGGAATCTTGTTAAATATGCTAATTTGAGCACCCAACAAGCGAATTTTGTTCGCGCAAAAAAAAAAAAAGCAAATTTTTGTTTGCAGTAATCACAAAAAGACTTGAGAAATTTTTCAAAAAAAAAACCTCTTAAATTTTAAATTTTCAAATTAGGAATTATTAGAAAAGTGTATGTTAATTACTATTAAAATATAGTAAATTAGACTTATTTGGAAATTTAAAATTTAAAAGTTATTTTTTGGGATAAATACATATAAACTAATAATACCATTTTTATTCTTCCCAGCTTATTGGCAAAAAAAAAAAAATACGCCTTCGATTCTTAATATAAGAGTTAATTAAGGATGTAATATTGGTAATATGTACAAGACCTATTTCACATGCCCTCTTGATATTTCCTAAATAAAAATCGAGTAGAAGAGGAGAGAGAAATTAAAAAATATACTTAAAATGTTTTTAAAAAAATATCATATTAACTAATTTAACTAACATCCTTAATTTGCTCTAGTTAATTAAATTTTATATCAAAGACATGAGGAGTACTATTTTTATGTTTGATGGGGAAAAAATAAGAAATTAATATATGTTATAAAACTTATAATATGAAAATGTGCCATTGTATTTTAATTCAAGTTTATCTTTTAAATAAAAAGCACACACATACACATCTTCTGAAAATATACAAAGCATGCATATGTATGATTTTAATAAAATTTTATATAATATAATAACTTTATCTTTATTATGGGCAAATTTTTAGTTCGAGTAAATTATGGTGAGTCTCTTATACAATGAGATATTTATTTATGACTTACTATATTTAAAATAGTTATTGGACTGAGCTTTCGGCCGCGGGCTAACCACGGATGAACTTACGAGGAAAGGGAACAACAAAAGACGCAAGGAGAACCTTGAATGAAGGTCCTGTTGAGGGAATCATTTATTTTCTACGCCATTTCATGTTTATCCTATTAATGTCATGTCATGCTTGCAAGGGTGGCGTTATTTTCTAGGCAAATCGAAATGGAGAAGGTGATAAGCTAATATATTTTTTAAAAAAATACTATGTTTGATTCTTAATATAACACAAGAGTCTGTTTAATTTTTATTTTGATTTTAAATATAAAATTTTAATTTATTTTATTTTTTATTTATTATATTTTTTTAAAGAAAGTCTTTATAATAATAATAGTTTTACTCTATACACTTGATTAGCAATGATATTTTAAGAAAGACAATACATATTTATTACAAATAACTAACTTAGCTGATTTTTTTAATCTACTTAATTAGTCAACTAGCTCTTATATTAAAGACCTGAGACAGTACTTGTTTTTGCTGGCAAAAAAACTTGTTTAAAAAATTTTAAGAATTTAAATATTTTATATAAAAAAGAAGCAAATAGTCATAATATGTTTTAACTGGTGATACATTATTTGTTCTTCGGTGAGAAGTCCATTTTATAAATCTTTCCTCATTTAATCTAACTACTGTTATTAATTTCAAATTTGTTTACTTCCTTAAAGAATATTACTTCAGATTTTTAATATAAGAACTAATTGATTAATTAGATAGATTAAAAAACTTAGTTAAATTAGTTATTTATAATAAATAGGTATTGTCTTTTCTAAAATGTCCTTACTAATCAAATGAAATGGCTAGAATTATCATTACTACAAGAACTATTTTAAGAAAAAATAGATAAATATAAGAGATAAAATGGATTGTAGTCTTATATTTAGAATCAAAATAAAAGTCAAATAAACTCTTATATAAAGGACCAGTGGTCTTAATATGAAAGCTAGTTAGATATTCAATTTGGTTATAAATATAAGACTTTAATCTACTTTGTCTCCGATATTTCTCCATTTTGTTCCCATGTAATATATGGTGATTGCATATGTTAAGAAGTTTTTGGTAATTCCAATGCACATAATAATAAAGGTATTTTAAGAAAGAGAACATCCATTTATTATAAATAACTAACTTAATTAATTGTTTTAATATCTACAAATTAATAATTTAGCTCTTATATTTTCAGTCATGTTCATGTGCTTACAGGGAGAATGACTACTACAGTAATTAATGAAAGCAGGGGTGTTCACGGGACTAGACGGAATCGGGACAGGCCCGTCCCGATCCCGTCTCGATGAATAGGGATGGGACAAGAATTTTGTCCCATGTCCCATCCCATCCTGCTTTCCCCTTTTTTAAACAAAAAAAATACTATAATTTTTTATATGAATTTTTTATGTTATAATGCTTATTTGTTATTGGGCTTCTAAAGATAAAAACATCATTAAAAAAATATTATGTAGAAAGCTCAATTATATAGTATAAAAAAGATGTTAAAAAAATACAAGAAAAAAACACTATATAATGTCTTTATGAATTATTTTATTGAGGAATGAGATTTTGTTAAGATAATACTACAACTTAAGAGATAAAAATCACTATAAAAATAATAATTATTATTAATAAGTAAATTAAATAATTTAATAATAATTGTTAATAAATAATTTTTAAAAAAAAATACCCCGGGACGGGATGGGACAGGGCAACCCTGCTTCGTGTCTCGTCCCGTCCTTGTCACTATTCCCGTCCCGTCTCGTCCCGAACTCATTGGGACCGGAACGGGACAAATTGAATACCTCTAATGAAAGTAAGGTCTCCCACAAATTTTCTTAAAAAATGAATTGCAAATATCATTCAAGCAGCTGCAAATTTAAGAGTTTCAATTGCAAATATGACTTGCGGGGTGTTTGGCTATTATCAAAAGCACTTCCTAAAAGTATTTTTTTTAAATCGAGATAAACTCTTCCATATATTTATTTTGTATACCATAAAGTCACTTTAAAATTATGATTTTGTTTCTATCTAAATCCCCTCCTAAAGGTTTCAAATGCAACTCTCTATCCGCAATCAGATTCCTATTTACAATTAACTGAATCAATATTTGCAACTCATTTTTTCAGGACAATAAATTTGCCGAGATCCTAATTGTCTTTTTTTTTTTTAATATGAGCACCGTATACCGAGTCAAACTCTCATGAAATCAAACTAATTCGAATTGGGTCATAATAGGACTCAATGCAGCCATCCTACTATCTTTGCTATTTTGTTCCCAAATGATTGAACATGTGAACTTTGTTTAAACTGAAACAACTACCAATTAATCCAAGTTCGATAATAAATCCTAACAATCATTCATTTAACTTTTATAGAACAAATACTCTTCCGGTTATAAATGTAAGACCTATTTTTATAGTTAAGATGGGTTTTACATTTAGAAACGGAGAGAGTAAATATTAAAAAATTATATTTTTTTCCCCTTTTGCAACAAATTTTGGTTGACATTGTGACATACCCAGTTTGAACAGCTATTCAACAGATCAAAGCGTACAAAAATTACCTTCATTCAAGAAGATCCATCCCTCAAGCTAAGGAGAGTTTGAATAGTTGGAGAAATGAAGAACGGATAAAGAGTGGGCCAAGTAATACGCAAGCATGGGGGGAGGTCCCTCAGCACGAGGCTGTGGCGTGACAAAATCAACTTCCCGTGCGCGTAGTGGGACCCCTCTAAATCCTTTGACTAAATTGTTTTGGAGGACCATCACATTATTAATAAGCAATAATAATGTGAATAGTGGGTAGCATCTTCTTCCCCATCACCCGCAACCATGTTTGAATCTCTTTGTTTTTCTTTTC